AATAAAAGACATAGTTTTCATTTTCACCAATAACTTTATTGATTTGGGTATTTTGAGTGTGTCTGCTCTCTCCCGCTATTGGCTTCTAGTGGGCAGAGACCAGGGTGCTGCTAAACATCTTCCAGTGCATACGACAGCCCCACAGAGAAGAATTATTTGGCCAAAATATCAATTGTACCAAGGAACTTCACAAACCACTTTTGACAAGTTCCATCAGTCACAGCACCTTCTCCACACACTGCACAAATCTTTCATTTGTGTTTCAGTTGTGCTTTTACCTTCCTTGAAATAACAAAGCATAATATACCAAAAATGTTGCTTATCTTCTTCCACTTTCAATATTAAAATGGCAGCACAAAAATTCACCACTTTTAATAAGTCTTCTTTTTAAATGCACACTGATATGACAGCTGTCACAATACAATCTAAAAAAATTGTTTCCACTGAAGTTAAAGACTACTGAGCACTACTAGAGCCGTTGTACAGAAATAACATAACAGACTTTTTGGCCAACACAATCGTTTCCTGGGACCACCATAACAAACTACCGAGAACTGGGTGGCATAAAACAGGAACTTATTTTCCCACAGTTCAGAAGGCCAGAAATTTCAGAAATCAAGATTGCAGCAGGATTGGTTCCTTCTGGAATCTTTGAGGGAGAAGGTGTCCCAAGCCTCTGCCCTTGTTTCTGACAGTTGTAGCAGTTCTTGGCATGACTTAGTTCTCAGACACGTCACTCCAATCTCTGCCCTTGTCCGTAGGTCACACTCTGCCCTGTGTGTCAATGTGTTCACATGCCCTTATTTTAAGACCACCAGAGCATTCTAATCCAGTAGGACCTCATCTTAATTAAGCAATTATATTTGCAAAGATACTATTTCCAAATAAGTTTACCTTCTGAGGTTCTGGTTGGGCAGGATTTTGGAGGGATACTAGTTAACCCAACACACTACTAAAAATTTTCATTTAATGTCAAGTGGACTTCTAATTTAACATGCCAAAAATAGCACTGAACTTGTGCATCCGACTCCACCCCTACGCTTCATCTTTAGGTGGTGACAACTCCATCCTTCCACTGGAACTCCCAGTCTCTCCTTCGCGTTATCCAGTTGACCGTTCTTGTTTCCACTCCCACTGTTACACTGTGGTCCGAGTCACTGTCACATCTCACCAGCATTATTGTGATAGTCTCTTAACAGGTCACTCGACTTCCACCCTTGTCACCCTAGAGTCAACAGTAGTCCTTCCTTATCCAAAATGGATACATTCCAAAGACCACCAATGAATCCTACGTATGTTATTTTTTTCTACATAAACATGCTAATAGCTTTAATTTATAAAATAAACAATTTCACAGATAGAAGATTCATTCTTTGCATAGAGCTCCGCAACCTCAGCATATGCTTTTTTTTTTCCTTATTGAGAACTTGCACCTTTTCACCTAAGGGAAGCTCTATGGCTTCTCTTTGGCATATCCGAATTGTCAGCATCGCTACTCTTGAGCTCTGGGGCCATCATTATGTAAAATAAGGGGGACTGGAACACAAACTCTGTGATACTATGACAGTCGATCTGATCACCATGAGTGCTACTAAGTGACTAAGGGTGGCTGGTGTATACAAGTAGGTCTGCTGGACAAAGGGACGATCCATGTCCAGGGCAAGATGAAGCAGGAAGGAATGAGATTACATCACGCTACTCAGAACCGCACACAATTTAAAACTTATAAATAGTTCCTTTCTGGGACTTTTCATTTAATATTTTCACACCGCAGTTGACAGCAGGTAACTGGAACCTTGGAAAGCAATACTGCTGATAAGGTGGGACTACTGTGTTTTCAACACAACCCCGGAATGATCTCATCAAAATCTGAGATCATGAGCTTTCCAATGGCTCCCATTTTTTTTTTTTTTCAGAATAAATGTCAGAGTTCTTACCATGTCACCCAAGATCCCCCAGCCTCTCTGACCACGCTCCCGCCTGCTCACTCTGCTCCAGCAATAGTGGACTCCATGCGGTTCCCTGAGCACTCCGGGACCCCTCTGGCCTCAGGGCCTTCCCACATGCCGTTCACTTGCCTAGAATGTTCTCTCCCTAAATATCTACCTGCCTTAGTCACTTACCTCTTTTAAGCATCTTTCTCAAATGTCATCTCTTTAAATGCATTCTACTCTGATCACCCTGTCTATGATTGTGACAAGCTCCTGCCTCTCAGTCACTGTCCCAGAACTACTGATCTTTGTACCCCTGCCCTAGTCCCTCCCCCACCCGTGGCCCTTATTACCTTCTCTATATCATCTGATGTGCTGACTATGGTTTTTGTCTCCTTCTGTAAGTTCCATGACAGCAGGAAATATTGTTTTCTATTTTCCGATGTATGCCTCCAACAATGTTTTGTATATTAGATGCTCGGTATTTATTAAGTAAATAAATAAGATAAATTACATGAGTGAGAAATGTATGGGAAACTACTTTCTAGGCACAGAAAAGATATAAAGGAATCACGAGAAAGAGAATTCTACATTTTACTATATACAAATTTAAAACATTATCATGTGTAACAAAACATAAAAATTTGCTATTATATCATACTCTTTTAGAAAGCCCCGGCTCTCTCCCAAAGTAAGTACTTTAAAAATTTTTTATTTTAATCCTCGCCCAAGGATATGTTTATTGATTTTTTTAGAAAGAGAAAAAGGGGGCGAGGGAAGAGAGAGAGAGAGAAACATCAGTTTGGTTGCCTCCCATAAGCACCCCGACCAGGGAACAAACCCACCTCCTGGGTGTGTGCCCTGACTGGGAATTGAACCTCAATCTTTTGGTGTTTGGGAGGGCGCGCCAACCAACTGAGCCACCTGGCCAGAGCACCCTTTTTAAATTTTAGAATAAATAAGTCCTCATAATAAAAATTCAATCTTCAAGTCATTTTTCCCGACTCCGGAAAAAGAAACTGAGGTTACTATGTACACTTTTGCTGAGGGCTGCCTACACAGCTTTGTGTTTTCTCCACAGCACTGAGGTAGATTAGGATTTAGTTATGAGAATTTACCCACTCATAATTTCCTATTTGTTTCTCAAAATTCCTACTAGGCCCTTGGGTCAAATTTTTATTTTAAGCATTATTTTAAGCAAATGAAACCTAAAAATTAGGAAAGATATTTTGAGCCATCACCAGAATTTAAAATAAGTTTTTAAAAAAGTGCATATGAGATTAACCTTAATTATATTAAATGGCTTTGCTATAAATAATCTTCTAAGGAACTTATATAAAAAGCTTTTAGGTGATTAAGACTGACTTTTGACATTGTTTTTCAATCAGAAACGGTTTTGGATCGAAGCCGAGGACAGACTAAAGAGACTGCTGGCAGAGGCTACGGCGTCCGCCCCTAGGCTGAGCCTCACTCTGCTGAGACACTTCCCAGCATTGCCCCCCCCCCACCCCCCATACACTGTGCAGGTGAGAAAACCGAAATTTGGGAGGTAAGCCAATTCCATTTGTCAGATAATTTCAACATCTGGGCCATCTCAGTTCTGGTACCTAGTTATGATTCTTTTTTTCCCTTGCGAATTGAGATTTTCCTGGTTCTTCATATGCTGAGTAATTTTGGATTGTACGTCGAACCTTTGGAATGTGATGCTGTGAGACTCTGGGTCTTTTCTGAATCCCGTGGACAGTGCTGATAGTTTTGTTTGGCAAAGGCAGCAAGTTCTGTTGGTTGTGGTTTCACCAACAGTTCTCCTGTCAAAGGCTTGGCTGTACCCTGCAGGTGAGTCTTGCAGCTGCACCACAGGGTGGCCAGTCTGGGGTCTGGAGAGAGGTCAACCTTTTTGTCATGGTGTTAAGGATTAAACCCATGTTCAGAGGTAAGCCTAGGAGTTTGTAAAGAAATTTTATGGAGTTATATTCTAAAACTCCTCTCTTTGCATGCTCCCTGGTACTTTTAAGTACCCTGGGCTTCCCCCTTCCAGTCCCCAGACCAGGAAACTGGGGCTTTAGTGCCTCTGTTCTTCCGCACACTTCCAGTGAGGGCATCTGCCTTTGCTACATACAGGCTGGAGGGGAATTTAGGAGAGAAGGAAGGGTTCGTTCTACCTTCTTGAGATCTCGGCTTCTTCAATGGGAGAGAAAGTTCCCTCTTGCTCAGTTTTAGGTCCCTGTCCTTGCCACTGTTTCAAGATTGCTGGGGGATTAATGGAGAGCAAGAAAATGAAGAAAAGGGGGAAAAAACAAATGAAAAGTTTCCCATTCTTTCTGAAGATCAGAAATCCCTAGGCTTGCTCTTCAAGCAGAGCTGGAAGGCTTCCGGAGCTCTCTCTGTTTATGTCCTTCCAGGTTCAGCCTTGCTTGAGTTTAAGGAGAAACCAGCGTTAAAACAGCAAACTGACTGCCTGTTTGGTGGGACTTTAACTCCTGATCCTCTTTCCTGATCATCTTGCCACTGTTTACTTTTCAGTCGTCAACCAGCAGCACCACGCACTGTGTCCGGACGGTGTAACTGCATTTAGTAGAGACATGGGATGGTTTATTCTTATTTCACCTTATCTAGACCAAGATGAAACATTTCAATGAAAAAAGTACAAAATTAGAAAATGTGTTTCATCAAAAAATAGGTAAGAAGGAACTAATAGGACTTACTGTGCACGTTTGGCATCTGCAATCTCCCAGGTATTCTCTGTGTACACACATCAGTGCGACCACATGGACGCGGTGTGGATTAGCGACAAAAGCATGAGTCCTGCCCGGTCTCATAACTTGAGTGATCTTGAGCAAACTACTACACTTCTCTTTATAAATAAACACGTGTAAAATGGGAATGACAAGGCCTGTGGACCTCACAGGTTGTGAGGGTGGTCAGCAAATACTCATAAGCACTCAGAAAATTGCTGGACACATAATAAGTACCATATAAGTATGAGTACTGTCACGTGTATTCCCTTTTTCCTAAAAAAAAATAATAAATCGCCCTTAACTAAGAACATTGAATGTCTATTATGTCGCTGTCATTAAAAAGCCATAGGCCATTTGGACAGGTGACTTTCTGTCTTTGCTAGTGGCAGTAGTAGTTTATGGCCATGGAAACCATGATGTGCTGGCATTTGATTATCAGTTCAGATTTGCACCTTTGCAGGATTCTAACAGGCAAAGACTTGGAAAGAGATTTAGAATCCCCCCCCACCACCACCACTGCATACCCTATTAATGAATCCCACGTGTAGGAAAAGGCCACTCTAAATAGTTGGGTTGGAAGAAGCTCAATTATGAGAATGAGGGCTTCTCTGGAAGTCACAGGCCGATACAGAGATGTGACAGACCTTGAGGACCACAGAGGGACAGCTGCGCACCTCACTTTTCCCATTTGTCTTTCAAAAAAAATCTATTTCTTCCTGTTTGGCCAAAGGATAAGGATGTTGATGGGGTCTAGGACATGCAACCTCAAAATACATCACCTTGGCCTATTGGATATTTTAAGCAGAAGGAATTTGAGAAGCAATGGGTTCAGGAAAGGCTCTCTGACCTCCCCCTTCTTCCCTGAAGCAGACTGTAGGCCCCCAGGTGGGAGGTGTCCTCCCTGTACTTGGAGAAACGGTGCACCCTCTCCTCTGAAGGGGGAGGGAGTCCGAACAAACAGGTCTTGCTACATTTCCCCAGGTTACTACCGCGAGCTCTTACCCTTTTGTCCTCTGACATATTTTCCAGGACTTTCTACTCTTCCTCAAACATAATACAAAAACACTCAGCCTTAAACTTTTTTTCAGGTCTTCGTTTCCTCATGAAGGCTCCCATGTCACATAGAACTCATATTAATTAAACAAATGTGTATGCTTTTCTCCCGTTAATCTGTCTTTGTTAGTTTAATTTTCAGGCCCAGCCAGGGACCAAAGAGGGGCATGGAAAAGTTTTTCCTCCTCTAAAATACTAAAAAGGAATTCTAATTGTCCTTTCTGAAAAATTCTTTAATGCGAGGCCGTTTTGGACTGGTGAGTTTCTCTCTTACGAGCTTTAGTGGCTCCTGAGGGCCATCACCGTTTCAGCAAACGTGCAGCAATTGATGTTCAGATCGATGAAGCAAAGCCAAAGAGAAAATACTAAGAATAAAGCAAATCATCCAATATGGCCAACTAAAATGTTATAGAAATGTTATATATGTGTGTGTGTTATAATAAACAATAGATATAACATAAAAAACATTTAAAAATACACGCACCAGTCTCGATCCGCATACATTGACTCCCTCTCTCCTTCCCTTCCCCTCTAAAGATAAATAAATAAAATATTTAAAATAGATATATATATATATTTTTTAAGGTTTTGATGTTTAAGAGTTTTGTTTTAGTAATGTAGAGAAGTTATGTGGTATAAACTCTTAATTTACTCATGGTTCCAGATGAATAAGATCCTACTATATTGAGAATAGTTATTTCAATTGGTGATATAAAAAGTAGTGTTTGCTCTAAAAAATATTAATATTATCATTTAAGCTTTATGATGCATGTTTTTCTTAAATAGTAACTCACATTATCCTGAATCTTAATATATTAAAACATCCTAAGCCAAGCATGTTTTGAAATGTTCTGTATCGAAGAAACTCCTTCTTGTTCTTTTTAAATAATTCACAGAGCTAAGAATTATAGCAGATTACATGTTAGATAACTTCTAAGAAACTAAGCATGACTGTAAAAGTTGACTATTTTCCCTCATTCCTGCGTCTTTTCCCTCAGATGAAATACCATGTGACCCCTTTAATCCTCACCACAGCCCTACTAGGCTGCCTCGTTGTCTCCTCTTCCTGAATGAGAAAGCAGGAACGTGGAAATGCTGAGTAGCTTGCCCAGGTCTCACAACAAGGTTTCGCCCCCACATCTGTTGGAAGACAAGACTCCCAGTAAATGACTGACTATGATGCAGAAATAAATAGCCCGTGGAAATGTAGGGGAGATGCTTTTCAATTTCTCCTGAGACAACTTCTTCCTTACTCTTACATGTATTCCTTCTATCCCCATCTGTCCCCCCCTACTTGATTTCTATAAGGGAGTGTTTTTCCAGGCAAAGAACACTTTCTTCTGACCCAGGAAAGAGGAAAGGAGTGGAAAGGCAGCTCATGTTTTCCTTTGGGTTGGCAGATATTTTCCGACGACCTTGATCAGTACTTTCAACAAATGACGTCACAGTAGCTGGCACTCGGTGAGCACTCAGATATGCCCATCTGACCTGACATTCTCGAAGAACAATGTCTCTATTTCTACTCCCTGAAGTGATCCCTCTTTTGTGCGGATGCTGGTGTCAAACAAAACAAAGGGGTATCTTTGACACTGTCATTTTACAGATGTACTATATTTTCCATCTAATCTTAGATGTGGAAATAATGAGCTTGAGCTTCATTTCCCTCCTCTATTAGAGCTGAACCATGTAATTTTGCTTGTCAGCTTTGCAAATGAAGGTTATCTTACACTGTTTAGCTTGGTTAAACGTTATCGCCGTGGGTGGATATACACCTCCTGTCATGCTGATGAGAAGCTTGCCTGCCTGTGTTCACCCAGGCCTCCTGCTGAAGGAGAGACTGTGCAAACACCCCGGAAATCAATGGGATGGAGCAGTTAGGGAAGAGGACGGCAGCAGAGCACTCAGCCCACAATGGCTCCACCTCCTGCTTCTTGAGTACTTAACCGTCGCCTTCCCTACTTTCAACTAGAGTGGTTCTTATCATGGTGCTTTGCAGATTTCAGAGCACCTTCACAAATATTATCTTAGGTTATAAGCACAGTAGTCCTGTGAGATAGGTTTTATTATCCTCATCTGATTAAAACGATTGTATTTATTTATTTTTAGAGAGAGGGGAAAGGAGGGAGAGACACATCAATTGGTTGCCTCTCACCCAGCCCTGGTCCCCAAAACCCAAACATGTGCCCTGACCAGGAATCTAACAGGTGAAGTTTTTGATTTGCAGGGGGATGCTCAACCCACAACCCAGTGAGCCACACCAGTTAGGGCTGTCCTCATTTTCTATGCTGGGAAACTGAGTTCTATTACATGGGAATCAAGGTCTCCCAACTGGAAATCCAGTGTGATTGCGCCAGGCCAGCGCTCACCCGGTGTGAAAGACTGGGATGGAAACAGGTATTACATGCTGTGCTCCTTTCTTTCCCAGCCCCAGACCCCTCTAATCTCAGCCCTTATATATCCCTCACTCCTTTTGCTTCCATCACTTGGCTTCTTGCTGTTGCTTAAACATACCAGCTACATTCAGGGCTCAGAACCTGGAGTTCTCCCCAGATAGTGGCACAGCTCATTCTCTCACTTCTCTCCAGTCTCTGCTCAAATATGACCTCATCAGAGAGCGCCCTCCCTGGAAACCCCATATAAGAGCTGTCCTCATCTCTCCCCATCTCCTTTACCACAGTGTACCAAGAATGGAGTGGACGTGCCCAGGCAGAGACCAACGATAAGAAAATGGACTAAAACTCAGTCTGCTTTTTATCATCCCCATGCACCAGGAATTCTAAACAACCTTGGTGATGGAATACCTTCCTGAGAAAAACAAAACCCAGCTTTGGTTAGTCTAAGTTCTAAATAATTTCTGCAATTACTTTTGAGTTATAATAATCTATATGTACACTTTAAGTTAGCACATTTTATTACTTATCCTTTAACAAACATGGTATCTATTTGGAAGTTAACTCGAGGAACTCTAAGCTGTGCAGTTGGCAACTGATGTAGACAGAGCTATCCATGTTTTGTCTGTGAGTTAATTTGTAGTAGTCCAGTCATTCAGACTTGCTTTAGGGGTAGTTGGGATCCCAACCCCCGTGATACAGATATGTTCCTGTGTAAGGATCAACCATGGGCAGCAATAAATAGACAAATCTAGCTACCGTAGTCCCCCTTTATCCATGGGGTTACTTTCCACACTTTCACATTCTCTGGTTTTAGTTACCCATGGTCAACTGTGGTCCAAAAAATTAAATGGAAAATTACAGAAACAAACAATTCATAGCTTTTAAATTGCATGCCATTCTGAATAACATGATAAAGTCTTGTACCCTCCCACTCTGTCCCACTCTAGACGTGACTCATCCCTGCGTCCAGTCTCTCCAGGCTGTAGCATCTCCCTGCCCACTAGTCACTTAGCAGCCTCCTCCATCATCAGATCAACTGTCATGGCATTGCAGTGCTGATGTTTGCCTGACCCTTATTTTACTTAATAACACAACATTTCCATAACTTTTATTACAGTTTATTGTTATAATTGTTCTATTTTATCATTAGTTGTTCACTCTTACTGTGCTTAACTAATAAGTTAAACTTTATCACAGGTATGTATGTATAGGGGAAAAATATATAGTCTTTGTAGGGTGCAGATCAATTCTCAGTCTCTGGCAATATCTGGAGGTCTTGGAACATATACCCAATGGATAAGAGGGGGCTACTGTATATATTTTTATTTTAATTATCTATTTCTTTTTAGAGAGGGGGAGGGAAGGAGAGAGGGAGAGAAACATCAGCATATGGTTGTCTCTTCCGTGCCCCCTACTGGGGACCTGGCCTGCAACCCAGGCATCTGCCCTGACTGGGAATTGAACCAGTGATGCTTCAGTTCCCAGGCCAGCCCTCAATCTGCTGAGCCACACCAGCCACTATACAGTTCAATAGAATACTGTATATTCTACAGTATTCTACAGTATTCTATAGAATACTGTATATTCTATTGAACGTGACTATGTAGAAAAGAGCCATTTTGATGAAGCCACTGACAAATTTGCAGAAGTTAGGCTTAAAAATAGAAGCTATAAGTTTATTCATTCATGTGACAAACCAACCTTTGCTTTTTCTAAAATATGCATTAAAATATTAAAAATTTTAATCTTTTTTCTTTTTATCATTTAGTTATTTATCTTTTATTATTTGTTATTATTTTCTACTGGCATGATTATAAATATGAAGATCAATAAAACAAAAATTTTACTCTCTGCTTTTCTGGACATTATTAGCGTGTGTTTTGTATTAGTTACCTAATGCTGCATAGCAATATTATTACTAACTTAGTGGCCTAAAAGAACACACATTTATTATCTATATTATATTATATATCACATTTATTATAGAGTCTGCAGGTCAGGAATGAGGGCACAGCTGTGCTGGGCTCTCTGCTTCAGGGTCTCACAAGACTGCAGCCAAGGCGTCGGCTGACGTCAGTCTGGGCAAGGATCCATGCTCAGGTGGTTGTTGGCAGGATTCAGGTCCTCATGGGATGTTGGGCAGAGGACCTCTGTCTTGCTGGATGTGGGCCAGAGGCTACCCCCAACTCTTTAATAGTGGGCCTTCCCAAGATGGTCTTTGCCTCATCAAAGCTGTCGAGAGAGAGGGCCTCCAAGCAAGACGGGCAACAATCGTACGCAACAATATTACACCCCATCACCTTGCCTCAGCCCAAGGTGAGAAGCCAGTCACAGGCTCTGGCCACTGCCAAGGGAAGAGGTTGCGCAAAGACATGAACAACAGAAGTGGGGCTCCATGGGGGTCCCTTAGGGTCTGTCTGCTACACATTTTATTTCATGATTATTAAATATAACTTTTCACATAATAATTCTGCCACATAAAGAAGGTATAATTTTAAAAATTTGCTCTAGGTGTCAAATACACCAAGTATATACCAGGGCCCTTGATCCGACTTGATTTTCTTCATAGTACTTACCTGATTTATTGTACATTTTATTATTTTATATAACATTTAATATTATTTATATATTTTATTAGTACACAGCAAATAATATATTCAATATATTTTCATATAATTTTGTTATATTATTTTACAGTTATTATACATTTCATGTTACATATTAATTTATTCATTATGACCTCCCTTTTAAAACCTTCTTTTTCTATTTTTTCTTTTAATCCTCACCCAGAGCCATCCTTACTGATTTTTGAGAGAAGAAAGGGGGGGGGAGAAATATCCATTGGTTGCTCTCACATGTGCACATCCTGACTGGGGTCATAACCTAGGTATGCACCCTGCCCCCCAATCGAACCCGCAGCCTTTCGGTACGCAGGACAATGTTCCAACCAACTGAGCCACCCTGGCCAGGGCAACCCCTTTACAACCTTCTCGAGAGCAGAACCCTTTGTTGTGTTCACTGTACCCAGCACCAGGAGGACCGCCTGGTACATGGGGGACTTAGTAAATATTTAACGGGTCAGTGTGTATACTCTTCAGAAACATTAGTTTATAAAAACAGTAACCTCTCCAGGGGTTTTTTAACCTCATACACATTTCAATTAATTTTTATCCCTGTGGTTTGTTGGAACCTGCTCCAAAATGAAAGGAACCGTGCACGGCTTTGATGGAGAAGGGCGTCCTCCCTATGCCCCACCGCTCTCCAGAAGCAACTACCCTCAAGCCTTTTATTTCTTGCCCCTGGCTTTTACTTCCTCATTTCTAAATAATTTGCTTGTATTTCTAACCTTGTACTTCATCATGTGATGCTAAAATGACTGAATAAAAAGTAAGATTGTGGTCAGTGGCCCAAGATGTTTTGTTTCAGTAAATCCAAATGGCAGTTCCTTGTAACAGGTCTGTCTTCCAGCTGTGCCACTTTCGGAACTTTCTATTTCGTGGCAAGAGTCCCACACCTTTCCAGGAGAGGAGGGAAGATTGACATCCTGAAACCTTCTTTAGGGATAAGAATGGGGTTAAAGAGCAAGCCCAGAAGCAGACTGGGAATGATCATTTAAGTGTGTGCATGAGTCCTTCAGATTCAAGGACAGAAAACGACAAGAAGACCGAGTTTAGAGAAAAAACAGCTCTCCTTGGAAAAGGACACTGCTTTGACGGTAATTCCAGATATGATAGGAAGGAAGGAAGGAAGGAAGGAAGGAAGGAAGGAAGGAAGGAAGGAAGGAAGGGAGGAAGGGAGGGAGGGAGGGAGGGAGGGAGGGAGGGAGGGAGGGAGGGAGGGAGGAAGGAAGGAAGGAGGGAAGGAGGAAGGAAGGAAGGAAGGGAGGGAGGAAGGGAGGAAGGAAGGGAGGAAGGAAGGAGATAGATGTAAACCTCAGGAAACTCTGGTTGGCTACAAAGCACTGGGGATCTGATCATGGCAAAAAGAGAAGGACTTAATTTTATGAGACCTGAGAGACAGAGAGAGGGAGAGGGAGAGATGCTCTGTGATCTTGGACGAATGAAAGAGCATCAGAGGCACATTTTTAAAGGCACTGAGTTTTCTGTTACATGCAACCAACCCTAACTTTAAATTGATATAGATTCAAAAGCATCTGCTACTTTTTGGATTATTTCAAGTCTTCAGATACCAAAGGAGTCATCTACTGACTCCTCTAATCTCAAAGAAATTGAGGAGTCAATTTCTCTAATCTCAAAGAAAATTATCTGAGACCATGCATGTTGCAAAAGTACCAGACAATTTGATTTTTCTATTTTTTCCATTGTCACGAAGATAAAACCTCTTTCGTAGACTTACTGGCTCAGAAATGAATGCTCTCCTGCTGGCCCTTTTTCTTACACAGGCTGTTTGTCATAAACAGCAAGCTGCTGTTTCGTGTGCTGAATAAAAGAAGATGATCATACTGAAAACTTCCGGAAATTCCAGGAATTAGCATTTGAATTAACATGGAAATAAAATCCATGGAATACACATGTATCTGAAGTTTATGCAGTCCCAGGGAACAAGGGAGACAAGTGCAGAATGATCTAATCTGGTTGCGGTCAGGAACATGAGTGTTGGGGAACATTGTGCGGAAAGTTGACATTCAATCCAATTAGGAAGGGCAAAGTAAAAATGATGAAAGCAATTTCCTTTGTTCAGTTAAATTAGTCATGCAAATAACAGGCCACTCTTTGACCTTCCCGGGAAGGGGCAGGATGGGTTCTAATGGTCATTAAATAAATAGCCAGCCTATTCTTGCAATGGGTTCATAAGTAGGGCTTAGGGAAATACCTTTTAGACTAAAAGTCAGCCAAGAAAGAAAATTGGTAAGAATTTTTCTAATGTATTCTTATTGTCTTTACACCAGACTACAGTGGATGTGGGTCTATTAAAACAAAAGGCAGAGGTCACTTTGTACTTCTTGCTAATTTGTGTGACAGGTGCTAAACAGAGTAAGGAAATTTTTTAAAAATAGCTTCTCTGTGCTCTTCTCCGGGGTCCCACAGGAAACAGTCGGGGAGTGTCATTGGTATTTGTAAAGACATACAATTTCTTTATTAGACTGATGGCATCAGTTAAGGACTAGACAGGCAGAGCCCTCCTGACCCTGCCCTAGGCCACAATTCCCAACTGCTGTTGCCTACAGTGATGGACAACTGGCTGCAGTTTTCATCCAACAACTCTGGCTATAGGTGTACGCAAGTTAAAGCAAATTTATTTTCTTGCCCATTAAAGTCCACGTTATCATGATAAATTGGATTATTAACACTGAATTAATAGGACAGATTTTAAGGCTATTTATTAAGGACAAACAAGTGTTCAACAAACATTTATTAAGTACTTATTAAGTTCTGAGGTCCAGTTAAAGGAGGTCTAAAGATATAGCCCGAATGAGGTGTTTTGACCCAGAATCTTGGGTCCTTTGGAATGTCAGTGGGTTATTATTCTGGTGTGTAACTCAAACAAAGCAACAAGTATTTGGAGTCATATTTTAATATTATTATCATTATCATTATTATTGCAAAAATAATATGGATATATATATGATTTTTAAAATTCCAATGAAACAATGGTATAAGTGAAAAGCAAAAGTTGTCCACCACTTTCTTCCCCTACTTCCAGTGTTTTCCACTGAAATATGGGACACTGTTTAAATGACCATAATACTGTACCAGTTCCTCCTACTTAGCGATAGGGTCCCCTTGAATCCAGGATGGTCTTGAGACCTACTTTAATTGATACAATATGGTGGCAGTTGCCATATACGAGTTCCAAATCTAGGCTTCAAGAGGCCTTGCAGCTTCCTACACTGTGCTCTTGGAAGGATGCAGCCTCCAGGTGACCATGCCTGGGAGAGCCCGCTGGAAGACGGGAAGCCGTGGAAAGCAGAGATGGCCCTCCAACAAGCCAGCCCCCGCCACCTGGCCAGAACCACCAGGGTGAGCCCATTCCAAATGGCTGAGCTGCAGAGTCATGAGTTAAAAGTGGTTGCTATTTGAAGCCACTAAGTTTTGGAATCATTTGTTATATAACAAAAGCTAAGTGGTACAAGAAGTGCCCATCTGCCTTGACTGGTGTGGCTCAGTGGATTGACCCTCAAAACCAGAGGGTCACCAGTTCGATTCCCAGTTGGGGCACATGCCTGGATTGTGGGCCGTGTTCCCCAGTGTGGGGAGCATGAAAGGCAATCACATAGTGATGTTTCTCTCTCTCTCTCTTTCTCCCTCCCTCCCCCTCTCTCTAAAAATAAATAAATAAAATCTTTTTGAAAAAAAGAAGTGACCATCTGAACAGTTG